CTTGTGAGACTGAATGTACCACTCCATTTTTTTCCCCTTTCTTTCTTGTTTTTTTTTTTTTTTGTGAATGGTTCATCATACTGTGAAAACAAATTGCATAATTACAGAAAGTTTCCATGTTTTGCTGATTCTTCTCTCTCTTCCTGACCCCTCAGTGCAATTCCTTGGTTATCCAAGAAAAGCCGTACATTGAGGATTCTTGCAGCATAGTTTGTTTTCCTGTAATGCCTTCTTGTGAGAATTTGACAACTGTGCCACGACAGAGCCCACTTCTTTTGACTGTTTGAATAAATGCCACCTTTCAGAACACTGCTTGTGTGGGGGAGATTGAAAGTTTCCGAAGCTTTTTCCCTATATTTTCCCAGTCTCTTACTCCTTTTTGGTGAATGCAGGATCTCTCAAATCACTGGGAACCTGTCTGCAAGGAAAGCAGGGAACTGTATCTGCCTTCTCACTGTACTCTAAAAATGAAAATGTCTTGTTATATTCCTACGTCAATGAGAAAGACCAAGACCCACTTTGCTTATTCTAGTTTCCCTAGTTTGCTCTCTCTCTCTCTCTCTCTCTCTCTCTCTCTTTCTCTCTCTTTGGACTTTGTACCAATTAATCACCTACGGCATTTGCATGCCTCTACTCTTTGGTAGATGTCTGGCTCCAACACCTGGACCAGCTGTGGGATTCCTCCTGCTGCTATGCCTGCTGCTACTGGAGAGACTCAGCTAAGGGGGCTGGAACACAGGGGGCCAGGAGGACACTTTTAAATGTGATTCTGTTTTTCACTGGCAAGCGTCAGGTGGTAGGAGCCTCAGGGGAGGGGGGTCTGGGTGGAGTAGAGGAGGGACTCAGCAAGCTGTGAGTGGAGAGGAAAGGGAGGAGTGGGGTGCAAGAGAGGAGGAAGTAAGGACTTAGTGAATGCCACAGCAGCCGCAGGGTCCACCAGCGGGGTGTTGGGGGGAGAGATTTGATGAGTGATTGGCTGTGGAGGCTTAAGGGGGAGGAGAGAAAGAATCATAGAATCATAGAATCATAGAATATCAGGGTTGGAAGGGACCTCAGGAGGTCATCTAGCCCAACCCCCTGCTCAAAGCAGAACCAATCCTCAACTAAATCATCCCAGCCAGGGCTTTGTCAAGCCTGACCTTAAAAACTTCTAAGGAAGGAGATTCCACCACCTCCCTAGGCAACGCATTCCAGTGTTTCACCACCAAAGGACTCAGTGAGAAGCAGCAGAGGTCTCAGCAGAGGGGCGGAGCAGGGACAGGAAGAGGTGGAGCATGGGTGGGGCCACGGGAAAAAAGCGAGAGGAGGTTTCAGGGGCAGAGCTCATTGGGGCCACCACATCCCAGGCGTCCATGCTCCCAAAGGTGGTTGGGCAGCGGCTGCACCACAGGGGAGGCTTAGCCTTCCATGGCCTATTATACCTGTCGCCTATGTAAGGCAGCCCTCCCTGGGTCACTTCCTACCACCTCCCTGCGAATATCCCAAAGTCTTTGTCTGGGGTAAGTCAGCATGAAGGGTGTCTGCTCACCCCAAGGCACCTTCTGGTGGCTGCATGTAGGGAGGCCTTCGCTTTTCCTCTCAGAGAGCAACTGCCTCTTCCTACGCTTTGGCCCAGCCTCTTGGGGCCGGCTCAGTACAAAGTCTCTCCCCTGCTGGGGTATTTCAAACAACAAATAAAGGGGATCAATCAGTCCAGCATTCATATGACAGATGAATGTGTCCCTCTCAGGCTGTCTCTGCAGCAGGCCCTCCCTTTTCTCAGGGAGGGACATTTGGGCGAGATTCAAGGGGAGATTCTGCCTTCCCTCATCTCATCTCCCCTGGAGCTGCCGGAAGCAGGTCTATTCTCCTCCCTGGGCTGCCACAAAATGTGTTCTTCCTCTGCCTTTTTGCCTCTCTCAGGCACTTCTCTTCAGACTTGATTTGTCTCCCCCATTTTTCTGATAATTTACTTGCTGAACATTTGGCTTTTTGAACTCAATTTGAAATGTAGCTACAAGTTCAGTGGTCTTGGGAAGTAATACTACTGCATTTTATAGGTCTGGGCGACACAGCTGGGCCCAGAATTCCTGGGAAGCTGAACCCCCATTCTCATCATGGTCACCTAGAACAGGGACTAGGGTGTCCCCACTCTGGGGTGCTATCTTCACAATGGATACTTCCCTGGCCCACTGATCTTTAAGTTCAAAACAAATATAATTTATTTAAAAAAATAAGAAAAATGGGAAAGGTTCACTGAAACAAGGCATGGGGCATGGGAACATCAGAAACAGCTCTCTCTGAGATGAAAGAAAAGTTCACAGTCTGTTCTTCACACATCCCAGGCCTCCTGCCCAGGCTGTGCTGCGATGATACCATGGGTCACACATTTTCCCTGGCAGTGGCCACACGCCTTCAGGTTCTTGGTGGCAGGACCCTTCTCCCCAGCATCTGCCCTTCTATCAGATTTATGTCCACCCTTCTGAATACAGCCTTCAAGGCCCTCTTCTCTGATGACATCTCCCAGTGCTGGGCTCTCTGCCTATGGCCCCACCTTGGTCTTCCCAGCCGCTTATCATGCTCGGCTGCTGTGTTACTTGTGGCACGGGTGGTGTCCACTATCCTGGCTCTGGCCCCGCAGCTCCCTGCTGTAACTGAGCCCTGGCTCCCCATTGGCAGAGCTGGTCTGTGCCGACCCAGCTCCCGGTTCCGGCCAGCTGCAGCTCCTCAGCTCTGCCTCAGCACTGCTGATCTGTGTCCAGCCCAGCTCTGCATTCGGGATTGTTGCTCTGGCCCTTGTGTTTCTGGCTGCTGCTGCTCTACTTCCAGCTCAGCTTGAGGTGCTTTGCCAGATTTCTACTGCATCAATAGGCCCAAATCACTTTAAAGCTAACCTAAAATTAACCCAATCTAATTCTTGAAAGAAGGGTTTTTTTTAATTAACATATCTCTGTGTAGAACTAACAAATGAAAGCTTTTGTTCTATATCCAGTACAGATTGGGTTAAAAAAAAAAAAAGCTACAAGCTCCAGCAGGAATTCATCCACATTAGCAACAAAGCTATGAGATGAGAATCATATTCACAATCAAAACCCCAGTACTTGTATCCTAAGGGAGGGCTGGCAGGTGTTTCAAAGAAAAATGGTTGAATAACGGTGTTAAAAAAAGCCCCAAATATGCCCAACTGTATGTAGTGTAAAATCAGCAATGATATTATTTATTTCAAATTCCATTCAGCGATGGCCGTCACTGTCCGTATTTTGAGTTGAATTAGTTACTGTTATTCTCTAAAAGGCAACATTTCATCCTTGCTGTCTTCATCAGAAGGAGAATGCTTCTGCTGCTGGCCACATGTGTCAGCAGTGACCCGTGCCATCATTTCTTACATTGGTGAAAACCGTTCGCAACAGATTTTTGTGTTGTTGCCGGTGCGCCCTAAGATGAAGAATGTTTTCTCAAAGTTCCTCTTGCATCTGGTAGCACAGGTTTGTTTTATCAAGTTCATCTGAGAAAATACTCTTTCAACTTTAGCGTTGCTAAAAGATAGGAACAAGAATGACAAAGCAACCAATGTAAGTTCACTAAAGCCTTTATCCCTAGTGGCATCCATGTGTTTGAGACGTTCAACCCAAATCTGCTCTACTTGGTTGTTCTGAGTATGAGGCCAGTGAACCAGAGGCAAAACTCTCCACTGCTGCTCCAACTGTTCAAGGTATCCGCTAAACAATGGCAAAAATGAGATACCAAGCCAATCTAGATTGTGAAGGACTTAGTACTACAAATGTTTGCTTAGCCTGGACATTTGATGGCAGTCTCTGTTTCATCTCTTTTACAAACTCCAAGATGATATCTGAACACCTACTTTTGACATCTTCTACAACGGAGATGGTTAGAGTGTATTTTGAAAGTTCCTGCTGAAAGCGACTCCAAAATCAACTGTGCAAAGCAGTAAGTTATTTGACTCCAAGGTGATGTTGTAATTTAACACAGCTGTCTCTTACCTGGGGTTTTAAGAACCCACAGCAGGGGCAATTTAAGTATTTCACTTCGGGAGGCATCAGGAATAAATCAATGGGAACACATCAATTCTTTCTGATAAAGGATTAAATGCAAGTAAGCATGCTCTTGGCCAGCACTGCAGTTTATTAGATTTAAGCACACACAGACATGAACAATAGGCTTAGAACATCCCAGATAGTAACATAACATCTGGAACAGTATTGAGTAATTAACAGCAGGTTCACAGTGGCCAGTTGCTCACCAATCAGGGAGAAAGGATGTCAGGAAAACCATCTCTCAAGATGGTTTCAGAGGACTGTTCCAAAGTATGCTGTATTAGCTAATCTTTTATAACTTCTACAAAATGCATAGGTCATAGGGTCCCCACTAGATCATCACTTTTCCTAACTTTCAATAAACACACAGTTTCACACCTCTCACCAATAACTCTAGTAGAATGTCCTCAATTCCTGCACCAGCTTTCCTGTATTAGCACTTTCCAATGGAAATATTTGGTTTATCCTCCAGGCTTCCTAAAGCATTAGACATAGAAAAATAAGGTAAATTTTGCTCACAGTTTTACTGTACATATGAAAAAAGAAGTTCAGCATTGTAGTACCTTTCTTTGTCTGTGACAATCAGAAAGTATAGCTCCAGTTCATTGAACTGATCCAGAACCATGTTCACACAGGGTCTAATGGAAAGCCACCTTGCTTCAGAAAGCAGTAGTAACTTCCTGTAGTCTGGAAGTCACTTAAAGGGAAAATGACAGGTTGTGTGGAGGTGGGGGATGATGGGTAACACTGAAAGAGGTCAGGTGATGGTCAGAGAGTGGGAACTCAGCAATGGAGAGAGCAGTGCTTGGTGATGGAGTAATAAGATCTTAGTTGTGATGAACTTCTGTGACTCTGAACTTCCAGAATGCTGAGCTCAGCCAAACTGGGACAGAGCACTCGTGATTAACAAGGATATGTCGTTTCTTCCTCTTGTCATACAGGTTTAAACTCAATGTCCCCAGGCGATCACACGCTGCAAGTGTATTTGCCCACTTTCTCACGAAGCACTTTGGTTTTGGCCCCATAAATGATAGGGTTCAGCATGGGGGGGATGAGGCAATAGAGATTGGCCAATATGATGTGAACGTAGGGAGCGATGCCCTGACTGAACCGGTGTGTCAGAGTGGAGAAGAAAAAGAAAGGATAAGACATCAGCATCACACAGATGTGGGCAGTGCAGGTTTTGAGCGCTTTCTGGTGGGCTTTTTTGGAGGAGATCCTGAGGACAGCCCGTATGATTAGACCATAGGACAGGGCAATGAGTGTCAGGTCTGACCCAATGAATACAAAGGCCACCACCAAGCCATACATCCTGTTGACTGTGATGTCCCCACACGACATCTTTGCTATAGCCATGTGGTCACAGTATGTATGGGGGATAATGCGGTTGGCACAGAATGGCTGCCTGCTCAGGAGCAGAGGCATGGGCAGAATGAAGAGAACAGCTCTTATCAAACCCACAAGCCCTAGCTTAGCTATTCGTGCATTGGTGAGGATGGTGGAATATCTCAGAGGGTTACATATGGCAACATAGCGATCGAAGGCCATTGTGACGAGAACAGCTGAGTGCATCATAGAACCCGCGTGAAGGAAGAACATCTGGGCGAGGCAGCCACCCACAGTAATGCCTTTTAAATTAAAGAAAAATATACAAAGTGCCTTCGGCCCGACTGTGGTAGATATGCTGATTTCTGTGAGTCCCAGCATGCAGAGTAGCAGGTACATTGGCTTGTGCAGGGTCTGCTCTTTGCCTATAACAAACAGAATGGTGAAATTTCCCAAAAGGCCAATAATGTAGAACATAGAGAAAGGGATTGAAATCCAGATGTGAGCAGCTTCCAGTCCAGGGAGGCCCATTAGGATGAATGTTGAAGAGTCAAAGAGGGTGAAGTTGAAAGATGCCATGAGGTGGTTGATGCATTGATCAGGGTCAAAAAAGCTCAAGGTGCCTGTGAAGGGAGAGAAGCACAGTGAGAGGGGTTACTCACTTTATAACAAATAGTATGGCAACTATATTGTATAGTTATTAACAATCTAGAAAAGGGGGTTGAGTAGTGAGGTGGCAACATTTGCAGCTGGAACTGGTTTATTTAGGTCATAGTCAAGTCAGAGAAGTCCTCAGAGGGAGCTAACCAAGCCAGTGAATGGACAGCATGATGACAGATGAACTTCACCGTCGAAAACTGCAACGTGTATGCCCATTGGAGGGAAAAGCTTGAACTCCTCAAACATCGAACAAGGTTCTAATTTAACTGTGTGAACTCAGGACAGGAATCTAGGCATCATTGTACACAGCTCTGTGGAACCCTGCTAAGAGTGCAAGCATGGACAGAAACTAAGCAAAACATTGGGATCCAAGAGGTATGGGATGGGGAATCATATAGAAAATACAACGCCATGAAATCAGCCAGTTAATATTTCACCCTCCTCTGGACTCTTCTGTGTAATACTGGGCATCCTTCTTACACAAGATATTGCAGAACTAGAGGCAACAAGACAGAGGCAACAAGAATAATGAAGGACCCAGGGAAACTCTCATAGGAGAGAGATTGAAAAGACTGGGATAGTTACCTTACAAAGGATGAATAAGATTGGATATGAGAAAAGTCTCCAAAATACTGACTGGTAGAGACTAAATCGAGAACGTGTTCTCTCTGTCTCATAACACAAATACAAGAGGACATTAAATTACAGTGAAACATGGCAAATTCAAAACAGATTCTAAAAAGAATGCTTTTTTCACTCTATGCCTAATTAGACTGAAGGACTCGTTGCCAAAAGAAGTAGTTGAGGCCATAAGCTAAGTAAGAATCAGGAAGGTTTTGGACATTTGGACATTGGGCCCCTTAATGAATGAGGGAGGCAACCTAGTGACTGAGGATGTGGAAAAAGCTAATGTACTCAATGCTTTTTTTGCCTCTGTCTTCACTAACAAGGTCAGCTCCCAGACTGCTGAGCTGGGCATCACAGCATGGGGAGTAGATGGCCACCCCTCTGGAGAAAGAGGTGGTTAGGGACTATTTAGAAAAGCTGGACTTGCACAAGTCCATGAGGCCGGATGAGTTGCATCCGAGAGTGCTGAAGGAATTGGCGGCTGTGATTGCAGAGCCATTGGCCATTATCTTTGAAAACTCGTGGCGAACCGGGGAAGTCCCAGATGACTGGAAAAAGGCTAATGTAGTGCCAAGCTTTAAAAAAGGGAAGAAGGAGGATCCTGGGAACTATAGGACAGTAAGCCTCACCTCAGTCCCCGGAAAAATCATGGAGCAGGTCCTCAAAGAATCAATCCTGAAGCACTTACAAGAGAGGAAAGTGATCAGGAACAGTCAGCATGGATTCACCAAGGGAAGGTCATGCCCGACTAATATAATCACCTTCTATGATGAGATAACTGGTTCTGTGGATGAAGGGAAAGCAGTGGATGTGTTGTTTCTTGACTTTAGCAAAGCTTTTGACACGGTCTCCAACAGTATTCTTTTCAGCAAGTTAAAGAAGTATGGGCTGGTTGAATGCACTATAAGGTGGGTAGAAAGTTGGCTAGATTGTCGGGCTCAACGGGTAGTGATCAATGGCTCCATGTCTAGTTGGCAGCCGGTGTCAAGTGGAGTGCCCCAGGGGTCGGTCCTGGGGCCGGTTTTGTTCAATATCTTCATAAATGATCTGGAGGATGGTGTGGATTACACTCTCAGCAAATTTGCGGATGATACTAAACTGGGAGGAGTGGTAGATATGCTGGAGGGCAGGGATAGGATACAGAGGGACCTAAACAAATTGGAGGATTGGGCCAAAAGAAATCTGATGAGGTTCAATAAGGATAAGTGCAGGGTCCTGCACTTAGGACGGAAGAACCCAATGCACAGCTACAGACTAGGGACCGAATGGCTAGGCAGCAGTTCTGCGGAAAAGGACCTAAGGGTGACAGTGGACGAGAAGCTGGATATGAGTCAGCAGTGTGCCCTTGTTGCCAAGAAGGCCAATGGCATTTTGGGATGTATAAGTAAGGGCATAGCGAGCAGATTGAGGGACGTGATCGTCCCCCTCTATTCGACATTGGTGAGGCCTCATCTGGAGTACTGTGTCCAGTTTTGGGCCCCACACTACAAGAAGGATGTGGATAAATTGGAGAGAGTCCAGCGAAGGGCAACAAAAATTATCAGGGGTCTGGAACACATGACTTATGAGGAGAGGCTGAGAGAACTGGGTTTGTTTAGTCTGCAGAAGAGAAGAATGAGAGGGGATTTGATAGCTGCTTTCAACTACCTGAGAGGTGGTTCCAGAGAAGATGGTTCTAGACTATTCTCAGTGGTAGAAGAGGACAGGACAAGGAGCAATGGTCTCAAGTTGCAGTGGGGGAGGTTTAGATTGGATATTAGGAAAAACTTTTTCACTAAGAGGGTGGTGAAACACTGGAATGCGTTACCTAGGGAGGTGGTGGAATCTCCTTCCTTAGAAGTTTTTAAGGTCAGGCTTGACAAAGCCCTGGCTGGGATTATTTAAATGGGGATTGGTCCTGCTTTGAGCAGGCAGTTGGACTAGATGACCTCCTGAGGTCCCTTCCAACCCTGATATTCTATGATTATATGATTTACATGGGTAGTGAGACTATCCAGTTACAATAGTTACAGCTAAATAAAATATTTTGGAAAGGCTATATGCCAAACTGTTTAAGAGCAGAAACTAATCTCCAGCTGTTAGGCATTAGGGTGACATCCTCATGACCGTCAGGTTATCTCTCCCATTCATCTACTACTGGGTTTCTTACATGTTCTTTTGCAGTACCTGAGGATGACACTGTCAGAGAGAGGACACTGGACTAGATGGACCATAGGTCTGATCCATGATGCAATTCCTATTTTGGAAAGGAGCAAATTTTCCCAATGGAAACAGATATTATCCTGCTGGGCTATGATTTTTGTGATCAACAGAATGGGCATGAAGGACACAAGGGTCTTGGTATTTACGGCTAAAGGCCTGCACGTCTGTTATGTCCCTTGTTTCTTTTGGTGAGACACTTTCTTGCAGGCACCCAGCTTTGTCTGAGACACAAATGTAAGCAGAGACATGTTAACTGACAAATGTAAGCAGAGACATGTTAACTGACAAATGTAAGCAGAGACATGTCAGCAACTCAGCTCCTTGCCCTTCTCATGTCTGAAGTTTGCAGGTGACACAAAAATTGGGGGATCGTAAATAATAAAGAGGACAGGTCACTGATTCAGAGCAATCTGGATTGGTTCGTAAATGGGGTAGAAGCAAACAATATGTGTTCTAACATTGCTATGTAGATATCTACACCTAGGAGCAAAGAATGTAGGCGATGCTTACATGATGGGGGACTATCATGGGAAGCGCAAAGACTAAGCAAGGTTTGGGGTGTGTGAAGGGATAATTAGCGAAACATGAGCTCCCAGTGTGACCCTGTGGCCAAAAGAGCCAATCTGATTCTTGGATGATAATCGGGGGTATCTCAAGGAGAGGTAGAGATGTTATTTTACCACTGAATTTGGCACTGGTGCAACTGCTTCTGAAATCCTGTGTCCAGTTCTGGCGTTCACTATTACGGATGGATGTTGATACATTGAAGAGTGTTCAGAGGAGAGTCCAAGATTTATTAAAAGATTAGAAAATCTGCCTTATAGTGGTTTCAGAGTAGCAGCCGTGTTAGTCTGTATCCGCAAAAAGAAAAGGAGTACTTGTGGAACCTTAGAGACTAAAAAATTTATTTGAGCATAAGCTTTCGTGAGTTACAGCTCACTTAGAATCATAGAATCATAGAATATAAGGGTTGGAAGGGACCCCAGAAGGTCATCTAGTCCAACCCCCTGCTCGAAGCAGGACCAATTCCCAGTTAAATCATCCCAGCCAGGGCTTTGTCAAGCCTGACCTTAAAAACGTCTAAGGAAGGAGATTCTACCACCTCCCTAGGTAACGCATTCCAGTGTTTCACCACCCTCTTAGTGAAAAAGTTTTTCCTAATATCCAATCTAAGCCTCCCCCACTGCAGCTTGAGACCATTACTCCTCGTTCTGTCATCTGATACCATTGAGAACAGTCTAGAGCCATCCTCTTTGGAACCCCCTTTCAGGTAGTTGAAAGCAGCTATCAAATCCCCCCTCATTCTTCTCTTCTGCAGGCTAAACAATCCCAGCTCCCTCAGCCTCTCCTCATAACTCATGTGTTCCAGACCCCTAATCATTTTTGTTGCCCTTCGCTGGACTCTCTCCAATTTATCCACATCCTTCTTGAAGTGTGGGGCCCAAAACTGGACACAGTACTCCAGATGAGGCCTCACTAATGTCGAATAGAGGGGAACGATCACGTCCCTCGATCTGCTCGCTATGCCCCTACTTATACATCCCAAAATGCCATTGGCCTTCTTGGCAACAAGGGCACACTGCTGACTCATATCCAGCTTCTCGTCCACTGTCACCCCTAGGTCCTTTTCCGCAGAACTGCTGCCTAGCCATTCGGTCCCTAGTCTGTAGCTGTGCATTGGGTTCTTCCGTCCTAAGTTCATCGGATGCATGTAATGGAAAATACAGTGGGGAGAATTTATATACACAGAGAACATGAAACAATGGGTGATAGACTCAAGGAGCTCGATCTATTTAGTTTAATAAAGATGATTAAGGGGTGACTTGATAACAGTCTGTAAGTTTCTACATGGGGAACCAATATTTAATAATAGCCTTTTCAGCCTACAATACAGAGATGTAACACGATCCAATGGCTGGGAGTGAAGTTAAATAAAATCTGACTGGAAATAAGGCATGCATTTTTCAAATGGTGAATGTAATTAACCATTGGAACAATTTACCAAGGGTCTTGGTGGATTCTCCATCACAGAGAATTTTTAAATGAAAGTTGGTGGTTTCTCTAAAAGATCTGCTCTAGGAATAATTTTG